GCATAATTTAAAAGAAATGCATATCTTGTGTCTTATATCGCAGATCATTTTGACATTTTGGAAGGTTTACAACACAGTCAGGAGAAAAAAGGCAACCTCGGGCGGAAACAGGAAAGCAACAATCTATTGAAACACAACTTCCCCTTGAAATGTCAGAGCTGATTTAAATAATGCAGGCTTTTTCCCCACAGATGCAATGGTGATTGACTCCCACCTTAAAATCCCCCTCCTCTTATGTGTCTCTCCTGCTCTGCTATTCGCTCAGACCTCCCCATGTCTCCATAAAGAGCTGTATGTAGGAGTGAGAACCTGAAAAATACATGAAACTGATAATGCAAGCAAAAGAAACGTCCCATCCCGATCCGCTGAATATCAGATCATAACAATTTACAGCTTTAAATAAATCATTAAACCCCCAGTAGACCATATCTATGGCAATTTCATCCTGAATAATTATCGTATCGATGCTGAAATAATGTCACACAACTTCCAGCATGTGTTAGATTCTTGTAATATCCAGGGATTATTAAGTCTGGTTTCCGACAACAACCCATTTAGGCTTTATTAAGATTCTTTCGGAGAGCAGGAGATTATTTTACAGCTAAAACAAACACAGGGCTGACATTTAAACCCAATTCCCCCCCCTCCAGCACCTACTGGACCCAACATTTGAATATCTTGCTTAATTGCTTGACACCAGGTTCAGTTCAGGGAGAAGGTTACTGCTGATAAATGCCATTAGACATTTTGGAGCTGATCAAAATGGAAATGTAATGAGTAAAATACAAGTGTCGCCTCCATGTGAGTTTGCTAAGGGTATAGTTGCTATCCACTCATAACTACAAATCTGGCTTTTAGGGCAATTTATTAATACATTCCCAATGTATGCCAAGGAAAAAAGAGATTCTACAAGATATATATAATAATAATAATAATAAATTATATTTATATAGCGCCTTTCAAGGGACTCAAGGTCGCTGTACATGGTGGCCAAACAAAACAAACAGACAATCAAAGGGCAAACAAAAAAGAAAGGAAGCCGGAGGACCAAGAAAGGGCTCGGGCCCGAGGGCCAGAGTGAACAGGTGTGTTTTTAATGATGATTTGAAGATGTCCAGGGAGGCAGCATTACAGATCTCGGCAGGAAGTGCATTCCAGAGGGTGGGGGCCGCAACACTGAACGCCCTGACACCAACAGCTCGGAGGCGAGAGCGGGGGATGGAGAGCAGGCCCGTGTCTGAGGACCGCAGACTCCGAGAAGGGGTGTAGGGATGGAGGAGGTCCGATAAGTACTGGGGGGCGAGGGTATGGAGGGACTTGTACGTGAGGAGGAGGAGTGTTTTGTACTGAATCCGGGACTTGACCGGCAGCCAGTGGAGGTGGATGAGGGTGGGGGTGATGTGTTGCCATGGCTTGGTGCGAGTGAGAAGCCTGGCGGCAGAGTTCTGGACGTATTGGAGCCTGTCCAGGGTTTTGCATGGGAACCCCGGACAGGACTCCATTGCAGTATAGTCCAGATGGGATGTGATGAAGGCGTGTACAAGTGTTTCTGCCACAGAGTCAGAGAGTGAAGACCGGAGTCTGGCAATGTTTTTGAGATGGTAGAAGGCGGATTTGGTAACAGATTTGATGTGCGCCTGGAAGGAGAGGGTGGTGTCCAAGATATATATAATATGTGAAGGTTTTCCACTTAAAACTATGCACTTTGGACCCAAATGATTACTGTAGATAACACCCAAAACTTGCTATAGTTTATTCATTGCGTTATTTACACACCTTATTGATGCACCTAAAGCCTGGAAAAGCCTGAATTCCTATGGGTATTGCCCATACTGCCTAATGGTGAATTACTGCCCATTTTGAGCACTGGTGGAGACCAAAACAGAGCTAAAGGTTGAGTAAATATTCAACTCACACTTACTGGACAATAACAAAAGCTTTTTTTGCTTCCTCAAAGTGACCAAAGACTAGTTTCTACAAGTTTAAACCTTATAAAAATCCCTCCTAAAAAAGTTGTCCTTAGCTCATGCAAATTCATCACTTTGGAAGATAATGGTTTTCATTGGACAGAAACACTGTAATAATGACGTGGGGGATATTTTCATACATGTCCAAACTCTTTTTGTTAAAATAATGAATTCAAACTTTGCTTTGTTTCCAAGAGATACTTTATTTTCACACTACAGCAGGTTATAAAAGCACCATACAGTATTTCATCATGTTCTCACCTTCGCTTCATAGAAGAATTCACAGTCCATTCACATTGTGTACATTTTTTAAGACCTACCTCTGACAGTTGTTTCATTTTAATTGTGACATATATATCCCCCGAAATGCAGGAATGACTTTGACATTCAGGTGGGAAGTAGATCTGTGCAAAACCTCAGGAGATTGATTTGTTATCCAACACATCTCGGCTCTTTTGTCCCTAAAACCAGTCGACATTAACACGTTGAATCTTCTGTAAAAAGATATCCTGAAACATTATATTATAAAAACTTCTTGCACACGTTTTTTCATTTGTTTTATGTCTTAAAGGTCACCTATTATGCAAAATCCACTTGTTCATGTCTCTTCTACATCAACATGTGTCCCCTCTAGTGAAAAGAGACTCAAAGATTCTCTCTCTTTTTGTCCTGATCCATTTATATAAAAACCTGTCTGAAAATGAGCTGATCAGATTTTGGCCACTTTATGATGTCATCACAATGTTTTGGCTTGTGTAACCATTAGCCAATAACCAACCAAGGTAACCCCCCCCCCCCCCCCCTCTTATCACCTGAATCTCCTCCTAGAGCACCATTGTGTTCTTTTTAACCAAATATCTCTCAGAGGGGCGTGGGGAGGGGCTCCTTATTTTCATCTAAAGTAACAGACAGAGAATCAGCACTTTGGAAACAGGGCTGAAACAGAGGGGATTATGGGATGCTGCAATGATCTGTTTGGTGTTTCAGCCAATCAGAGACATGTTCTGTATATATCTGAGACCTGTGATATATTGATGAAAAACAGTATAATAGGGGACCTTTAAATACATATTATGTTGCATTGTTGGAGGAGCCTTGGACTTCAGATTTTCATTGCCATATCTACACTGTAGCTACTTTATGACAGTTAAAGCTTTTGAATCTTGAAACTCCCCTCAGTGATTACGCTGCACTATTTTTACTGCGTGCATATTCTAGATAAGGACCCTTGATGTGAACATGGCAGCTGTCCGATCCACAGGAAGCTCCCTGAGCGTTGGCCGGCGTGTCGAGGACTCACCGCGTGTTTAGTGGCTTCTACTCCTACATGAACCCATCGACCATCACGTAGGAATAAAAAGCCATAAGACACAACGGCAATGTCACAGGAGGGAGGAAAAACAAGGAAGAAGGAAGGACGGAGGAATCCACATCGGCATAAAAAAGGAGGGGTTGTGCGAGTCGTCGAGGAAGGGAAAAAGGAGAAAGGAAAGGATTTCACACACAACATTTAGAGGTGATGCCGATGCAGTATTTACGAAACCATGCCCTCTGTTTGTCTTCCTCTCTGTTTGATTATGTGCTTCTGAGTGCAGCAGATGAATATGTATTAGTGAATTCCTCTGTGTGCTATATTTGATATGCTCCGAGCAAACTGCTCCGATGAACCCTAGCAAACTCCATCTGCTCCGTTTCCAAATATTATTTTTCAGTCTTACAGGCAGCCGCACATGTTTTAATGCCAGCACGTCTCCCTTCAGACGTTTCTCCAGATAAACATCTTTTCTCCTTTAGAGCTGGACGTGCTTCTAAGTAACTTCAGAGTGTTTTTTCTGCAGCAGAAAGACAGTCGTGCCTCGGTACAGTAAGACACTTACGTACGGATAAATATGTATGACTGCAGCGCGGTAGGTTTCCTGCTTTGTATGCAAATGATCTTATACAAGTTTAATAATGCAACTGTGGTGCACTGAGGGGGGGCTGACACATCGAAAGACCTGCACATCCTCACAAATGAACAGATGTGAGTAGTGGGGTAACATACGTTTAATCGTACTAATTACACTGCAATAATGTAGGATTTCCATTAATAAATGTTGCAGATACTATTTTACAGTGTTGCATACATTCACTGGGTTTTATGGTGCTGTTATTAAGCTACAGATTCGCTAGATTTTAGTGATAAAAGGACACAGATTATGATGGCAAAACGGTGACAGGCACTGCATAAGAGATGGAAAGTAATTTAGTAGATGTATTAATTAAAGTAAGGAACAATCTGCTTCCAATGGACTTCATTTCTTCTTTTTTTGTTTCTTAATTTAAATAAACGTCTGTTATGTAACCCAATATCACCGAAATGAGCAATGGTGGTGTTAAAGACTCTGACCCGCTAATGAAAGTATTCTAATATCCATATATTTGCAGTATTACTAACTATTGTAATGCAAACTAAAAATGTCCTACATTTGCATTGTACAGGGGTAACACAAATTGACCCTGAATTTGATTTAGTCAGAATGATAAAAAAAAATGCAAATTAATACCTCGCGTCTTTTCTAATCTTGCTCAGCATACTTTTGTACTTTTCCTTGAGTAAGATTTTTAATGCATGACATTATATTGCAGTATTTTCCCTTTTACATTTAACCAGGTTCCTGCAGTATAGTATCTGTAGAAGCTTCTCATCCATTACCTTTCATTACATATTAGGATTTATTTTGTATGCAACTACAATTGTATTGCCATGTATTGTACAATATACTTTGAATTTAAAACATATCTCCAAATATAAGATCGATTTGTGTAGAATGCTAAGAGTATATACAGTATTACAAATTGTTTTTACATGTTATTTAATCAAAACCTAATATTTCTATTATAATAACACTTTTAAACAAGCTGGTTACGCTTCTTTAACTTCTGATAGAAGTTTCTTGAATAAAAGGTTTGAATAGTCCACTGCTTATTTCCTTTACATATTACAGGTTTTATTGTTAACTTCTCCAATAAAATGATTATAACTCAAATGTAACATTGTGTTATTTATCTGGTTATCTTTGACTGAGTATAAAGCAGAGGCTTGTCAAAGAGAGAAGATATGGGACTGATTTGAATTTGTTTTATTCGATACTAAAGGAAGTATAATGTTGGTTTATGTAGGTGTGTGTTATTTGCACTTATTTGTGGTTTCCGAAACACTCAAATCCTCATGTCGGTGGTTGTTGGTTCACGTCTCCGCATCGACTCCTGAAGGATCCTGTAAAACACAGAAGAGCAGAGACGTTAGGAGAGTTCGATCTCTAAAAATGCACTCTTCGTGAGTCAATCTTAAAAATGAATGAACCTTTCTGTTGTCTTTGGGTCAAATTTGTCCCGTTTCCAAATGTTTTTGAGGTCGAGATAAAAGCTTATGTTATCAAACTGCAACAAAAACAAGATGCATGCAAAATAATGATCACTACTTTCATTCAATTATATTATCTTTTCATTCAAATGTATAGCAAACCCAGTCTTCATGTGTCAATTTAGTAAATGATTCACATTTTTTTGCCTTTTATAAACTCAAAAATGAGGTTAAGTTTTGTGTAAATACATTTTATTGACCATCAATTCCAGAAAAAAGAGACAAACTTGTGGAATAAAGTCGCGAAAAATGTGGCTAAGAAGGCGCAGCCCCCTCCTTAAGGGAGAAGTTGTCTTTGGGTCAAAGACATTTTTGTTGTTGTTACCAGTTTGTGACCGGGCAACTGTCGGTCAGAGATAGTTATTGTTGTGGGACACCTGGAACACATCCTTCTCGGGGTGTAGATGACCTCGAGCCGTAAGCGACAACAAATGTGATTCAGTGTCCTCAGATGTTTAGTCTATCTATTGAAGAATGTTGATTATTACACTCTGAACTAGTTAAAACCTCGAGCTACAGGAAGGGTCTTCAGAATTGATTGTGGCATCTCAACCGTGTGGTCAGACCGTGGCCCGTGACATGTCTTGTGAATTCTCCGGCCGAAGCTCCAAATAAACCGTCAGTGTTTGCCATCAAAGCTCCAGCTCTCCATCGTGTCTCTCTTTGAGTCCTGCTGACTCCAATTGCTTCAGAAGTTTCCCCCACAGAAACTTGTTTTCCTAAAAAGCTCACAGTGCGATTTTACAGAGCACGACTTCAAACAGCCATTAACCAAAAGGCCAATGATGTCCCTTGTTGAGCAGCGGCTACATCTTGATGACTAGCGCTGTTTACGAGGCTAATGAAAAGTTAATAGCGAGCACATTCCTGCACCTGCTAGCGTCTCCGCTGAGGTGAAAAATGTAGACGGCGGGTGAATTCAGGGTTAAACTGTGATGCATTATGGGTTAAATCCTCCACATACTCAGGAACACATGAAAGTTTTAATTTGTTATGTGAAAGGTTCTGGAAATTGTTTCGGGATAACACTCCACACAATGAGCTGCGACATCTTCATTGAAAAGTGATGGATTGTGCTGCCAGGGAGAAAGGCTGCTTGAGAGACAGATCACTCAAACGGGCGCGCAGTAAAAGCCCAATAATATGATGAATGGTCTATTTACCCAACAGATGAGGAGAGACTTGCATGGAGATTAAACGTGTGGTTTTGGACGTGTCATAGTCACAGAACAGATAGAAACATTTGAATAATATGTCTTTGTTCTCTGTCAGGGAGCAAGTTGGAAATTAATTTAAGTTGCGGGGAGAATTTAGACTGCGAATATGCTCGTTTATCACCTCCGATTGTCTTGCAGCTAGGAACAAAACATGGTTTTATTGATCTTCTTCGAGGAAGCCACAACGGGTCCTGGAAGATCTTAAAAAAGTTGGAAATGTGTGATTAATCCCCTTTACTCTAAACGCATTTCTTTGAGCAAAATTAAAGTTTGAGTCTCATTAATGGAAAAGCCATTATTAGTTACACATTTTTCTCCTTCACTGGAGGCCTCTGTATAATCATGTATCAATAATGGACCATTTAACACTTATAACACAAAGTGTAGCCAAAGTTAAGCCACTAATCACTTAACCAAACAATGTCTCTGAGGATGTTGATATAGTGACCCACTTTCTACACACACCATGTATAATTGATGTGAAATAGATGTAGCCGCCTCAGATCTGATAAGGGCTCTCGGCTCTGATGGATCTCCAGATAGGCTTTTCGGGGGGGGGGGGAACAGATGTAGAATCGTGCATCAGAGAGAGATGGGGTTGCATGTGATCGTTTCCACCCTGCAGCGAACAAAATAGCCCTCATATATCCCTGTAATCTGCATTAGCGCGGAGCAGCAGCCAGGAGACAGCGCAGAGGGGGATGAGTAATGGGCCCACCGCTGATTTGGCAGGCCTTTATTACACCTCCAAACTGAGCCATGCCCAACTGGCGAGAATATGAAATGTGGACGTCAACCCCCCATAACGAAGTATTTATCAGCTTATATTACACCCAAAAACATGCTTTTTACCAAGCTATACAGAACTTTTGTTCTTCATATGGCTAGAGTTCCCATACAGATTCTCTGAGTGTTGCAAATTGTATCTACTTTACTTATTAATTTTGAAAGCTTGTGTATGTTTTATTCTACTTTACACTGTTTTCTACTCACAATAATTCAGAGTGAGGCTTACAGAAACGATTATGGTGAAATTGAACCGCCAAAGGTTAGTTTGATAACAATTGAATACAATGCAGCATTCGGAAAAAAACGAGAAATGTGTGATTTGCCTTAATCCTATGTAAATTCCAATCATGTCATTGTTAGATTCGCAGAACAACGGACGCAGTTTTAAAGATAAATCCGCTATTTAAAGTCTTTTTACTCTACTTTACTTGTTACTAATGTGAAAGCTTGTGTATGTTTTTTGCTACTTTACGCTGTTTATACTCGAGATAAATCAGAGGGAGATATCATACTTTTTACCCTCAAACAACATCTACTTTCACTATCAATTGTTCTGTCATTTAATACGTCATTATTCACTGTTTTCCTAGAGCAACACAACGTTAAAGGACTTCTCAACAGCTTTCTCAAACTGTTTTCGGTGGACAACACGGTAAGGGTTTCGTCAGGTTTAGGCACAAAAACTACTACATCGTTTTTCGTGTTAATTGTAGGTACTTTGTTAGGGATATTGGAGCTTTCTTGTCATTGTAACAATAATAAAAATGTTAAATAAGGTAGGGGAATGGGATCTTGGGTTCAAAGTCATGCTAAAAAAAGACAAGTGTTGGCTGCTATGACTGCTTTATAATAACTACGGATGCTTAACTCTCCTGTTGTCTTCGGGTCAAATTATTATTATTTATTACATGTCACTTGATAGACGCTTTTATCCAAAGCGACTTACATACTCAATGTTAAGGAATAATTCTTCTAGATATCTAACTTTTTACTCTGACATGTGTTATCTCCTTTAAGGAAAGGCCTTAGTGCCATATGTGTTGTTGTCACCAGTGTGTGACCGGTCAACTTGTCTGGCACGAAGGGTAATTGTTGTGGGAACACTGAGGCACTTCTTTATCGGTGTTTGTGGACTCTAGGATGTGAAATCCTTGAGGCCATGAGCGTCGGACGCAGGTGATTCAGTGTTTAGTCTACTCCTTCAGAGATGTGGATTTCTCTCTGTGAACCAGTTAAAAGGTCTAGCATAGAGAGAGGTTCTTCAGAATTGACGTGGCAACTCTACCGTGTGGTCAGAACCTCTGACTCTTTGATTTGTGATGTGAATCCTCCGGCCGAATACTCTGAATAAACCCATCAGTGTTTGACATCAAAGCTCCAACTCTCACCGTGTCTCCTTCCTGAGTCGGTGACTCCATGCATTGCTACACAGAAGTTTCCTCCACACTCAATACTGTGGACAATCCCCACAGGAGCAATTTGGGGTGAAGTGTCTCAGGGACACAACGACATGCTGACTGCAGTGGGGTTTGAACCTGTGCTCCCTGATCCCAACACCAAGGCTCTATCCACTGCGCCACATGCCTCCTGACCGATTTACTACTTTCATCAATCATAACTTTTTTTGTTTTACATTCGATTGCATTAAGGCTTTATGATATCCTTCACAGACATTTGAACATATCAAATGGCTGATCACCACTTTCATTGAATTTTGGATGATTTAGTCAAATTTGGTGTTCCATCCGGATCAGATAAAACACACACACACACACACACACACACACACACACACACACACACACACACACACACACACACACACACACACACACACACACACAGAACAATTTGACACATGTCCCGCTCGTATGTGCCCATCCCCCCACATGGATCACACCTGGCACACGCAATACATGTTCAGTGTCTATTCTTTGTATATTAACTGCAGTTGTTGATGTATACCAGTAGTCTGATACAATATGTACAGTTTGAAAGGGTGTTAAATGAAATTTGGTGATGATTCATGGTTTTTGTGTTAATGTAATAGCAGTTAAAACAGGACCGGTCAAATTTGACCGCGAACACCAAAGTAAGGGGGGGAAACAAAGTCAATAGGAGGGTTACAGGCTTTGTCACTTTTTGGGGGGACTTACAGAAACGATTATGTTGAAATTGAACCGCCAAAGGTTAGGTTGATAACAACTTACAATGCACCATTTGGCAACCCTACAAGAAACTCCTGTGTAAACCCAATCATGTCATTGTTAGATTTGCAGAACAATGGACGTAGTTTTAAAGTTAAATCCCACTGTGATTTCAACCAGGCGATAGGCGTTCGTGTCCCGCGTGAAACCAAAAGTTGAGTTATTTACATGTTACATTTGCTTCCTAATAAAGCAGCTAATATACATGATTGTAATACAGATCAGTCACAGAGGAACAGTTTTGCTGTAGAACAAGTCTTTTCTCTACCTCCTCCTGTCTGGCACATGATGCTCTGTTTCTATTCCTGCCTAGTTCTCTGTAGGTTGTGGGAAGAGTAATGGCCTAACGTTGCTTTGGCATCTTCTGTCTGTGTAACAACCCAATATAAAAAACAAAGCCACGGGCAACTTCCTGCCTGGCGAGCGTCCGAACACCCGGAGAAAGAAATCCCATCCAAGATAAAGTGCACTACACTCCAGACCCAGAGGCGTAAAGCAATTCGTTAAACAACTCCATAACTTCTCCCTCCCACTTCTAAGACAGTCTTTAACAAAAGAGAACGAAGCAGTGAAGCTGAACTGGATATTTCTTTAATTATGTGAGTAAATTATGCACAACAACAAGATCTAGCCGCACCCC